CCAGCTCTTGCTCTTTCTCATGTCATGAACATAGAATGCGTCTAAGTCTTCTTATTTTCTTCCACGGCATTTGTGATATCTGCCCTTTCCTAACATCCCTAACCTCCAAGATCCACGACATCTCATCTAATTTCTGCAACAGCCTTCTCTCTAGCAGTGCTGTAAAATGTTCTTACCCGTTGCCATAAAATCCTGGCTACTAAGGTCAACTTCTTTGAAAGCAGCCTTGACTATCAAAATCCTTCATGACCTCACCTGCAAGGCCATTCAAAAATACTTTTATTCTCTCCTTATTCAATCTTCTTATTCTTCTCTGTTATCTAAACAGTTTGCCACTCCCAAATCAGCCCAAATAATGAAGTCCAGCACAATCTTTTAATAAGGTAGGCGTTTTGCTAGAAAAAAAAGACATGGGTGTTTTGTTTAAAAATGGAAACAAAATTTTAAAAGGATCAAATAAAAAAACTATCTTGAAAAGTTTTGACTGATCTGATTTATCTTGAGGTTTTAGTTCTTAAAAGCTTTTATAATTTTGGGAAAAAAAATCATTATAGGACATGAAAACTGCCACTTAGCCAGTTGTACAGATACTCGATTTTAAGTGGATATGTACACTGCCACTCGACAGAAAGTGCTTTTACTACTTCCTTTTCATCTTATTCCTTTTTATTAACCAAGTTAGGAGGGGTTACACTGTCAAAACAGAAATGATTGATGTATTACCATGGTTTCAATAGATTCAGGATAAAGGCATCAATATCTAGTTCATAGCTTTAACTCCCTCCCTCCCGCCTCAAGTTGCTGGTCTAACAATTTGTAATACCAGGTAACTTGTATTTCTGGTTAGAAACTTTCTCAGACAGAGTTTAGCTGTGATAAATAAAGTTTAAAAACATTCAAGTTTTCAGTAAGGGAAAAACTCCACTAGAGACTTAAAATAAAAAATTAGAAGCATATTTCTTGATTGCCTACTACTGGGCTTTAATCTTTATTATCAAATGGATGAATGGACACAATTTTCATTATTCATTTATCTATCCAGAAGAACTATTTCAGGACATTTTTATTACCTTTGGAATTTGAGATGTTTACAATAGCTATTTTATAACTAAACCCATCCTTTCTGCAAAGAAGTACACAAGGAGGTGTACAGTGGGTAGAGTTGGCTCTGTGGAGGCATGGGAGCAGAGGGAAGAGTAACGTATTGCACAGAGCAGAGACATGAAAGAGATATTTAGGGCAGTGCACAGAAAGTCGACCAAAACAAACTGTTCAGCTCCATCTCAGGTTATCAGTAACCTGTTGCTCAGCTACTGATACCACAGGAGAAACCACATACCTGATCTTTGCTAGCTATGGTTTGCAGTCTTTAGTTCACCACCTGGCTGCTTGTAGAATTCATGTACTACTAAGTGTTTTATTCTGAGAGGAGCTGGTAACTCAGCAGTTAAGCTAACATGACCGTCTTGAATATAACACATTGAAAACTGGCAACACCTGATAGCTTTGTTGAGTGGAAATGCCATTTTTTCCAGCCTGTTGTATTGCAAAGTTGCAGGTTTGTTGTACCTTTTATTCTCTAGGTCATGCAGGGCACTTCGAAAATAAAAAGATGGTTTTTACCTAAATTCCCAATCCTCCAAACTCACAGTGGCGTCCACTACACCATTTTCACATGCTTGCTGTTCAAACAAGAACAATGTTTTAAAGGTTCTCTCGTGACATATCAGGAAAAATTCAGCATAAGCGCCCAGCTGGACAGTGTTTAGCTCTGTCACACCAAGGATTTGATGTTTCAGTATTCAGCTTCATGCTACTATCCCTTCAAACACTGTGGCCCCCTTAAATTAAAATTCACATTTGAACTACTTATTGGTATTGGTACTTGGGTAGAAGTAGATGGCATTTTCATTTTTTCCTTCAGAAGGTAGCTGTGTTGGCTCACTGTAGAGTTAATCTTACACAAGTTTATCATACGCAAGATAACATTTGAATCACTTAGACCAGTAGTTTTAAAACTGTACTGTTTTAGTTATCCTGAAATAACTTATTTTTTTCCTTCATAACAAAACTCACTCAAGGGATATTAATATTACCAATTTTTTGAACATCCACTTGCAGTTTGAATAAGATGCAAATAGCTACACCCTGAGAAATGAAGAAAACTAGGCTGCCTTTATATTTTACAGCACAAGGTTGAAATTTAAGGTGCCATTTTCCACCAAAATATTGTTTCCCATTACTGAAGAGAAGTGATGGGCCTGAGGGCCTCATGCATTACAAATCTCATGTGCTTTAAATTGCTAGTAAATCACTTGCGGTTTTGCCTTTAGTAGTTTCTGCCGAGCTCAGCATTTATTGCTTACAGCTGAATACAGCCACCTAAATCATCCATCACATTTTTATAACCTACTGTAGCTTTCCATTTCATACACCAAGGAATTGGCGTATCTTCCGAATGGGAATGGGTGAACACACTCTATAGACACTGAATAGTACTGTATGTGCAGTTCAACATGGTGTTTTTAATAGCATGGGGAAAAATACCCTTAAGTTTCAGCCATCAGCACCCATGGGCATTTACACTCACTCATGGGGACAGGGATTCAGTGCCTGACTCTCCAGCACAGACCCTTCCCCACAGGTTGAAGTTCATACTTCTAGTGCTTGCTGGCAAGGAAAATATCTGTTGTTAGCTTTTAAATCCCCAAGGAGGTAATATCCTTGTGAGAAGTGACTGAATATAGAAAGAAAATTCAGTTCTGCGCAAGAGACTGGCACCTCTTTGTTCACCCATGAGTACTACTCAAATCATGATTTATATGGGAAATGAGAAGTTCTGGGTTTCTGGAGCCTGATAGAGTGGTAAGTAGCAAAAATTCAAGTCTCAGTGGAAGCAGTTTTTTACCAAATCCAAATTTGATGCCACTATGTAGCGCTCGTAGATCTGATTTAATGTCATCACTTGCTGTTGAAGGCTCTCTGCCATAGACATATTTTCTTGGACTCCAGACATACTAACTCAACCACATCGAGATTATGGGCTTACTTCAAAAGGGTCTGATCCAAATTCCTAAAATGTTTTTTTTTTTCTCCTCAAATTGCTCATTATCCTTGCATAACAGCAGCTGAGTCCAAAACTCTGAGGTTACACCTTATTACTCCAACTCTGAATTTTCCAATGAACAAATCAGGCTGTAGAATTTTTCAGAAATTTTTTTTCTACAAACTTCATTTTAAAGACTCATCTATCACACTCTTTAAGAGTCATCTTTCCATACTGTGTCAAACTGCCTTTTTTTCCTTGAATGGGAATCTAAATGCATAACGTAATGGACCTTTCCACACATCTATTTTAAAGTAGTATTTTAGATTATTACAAGCACATTGCCTGAACAGCAGAATCATGTCCTGTCTGCTTAGATTCGGTA